CAAAGCATAACAATGATCATAACCTAACATGAACAATCCCCAATATAAATCTCATAGTCACATCCCCCAAGACACTCGTAATCACAACTCGTCCCTGTCACAACACATAACACACTTTGTTGGCGCCACAGGACCAATCGCATGCCCATACATGAGGGTCAGCGCATATAGCTCTGACACGGCCCCGCAGCACCCTGCCCCGCATCGCAACACGGAGGGGTCGATCGCAACCGACCGATGAACCGCAGCTCATCATAGTGTTTGATCGCAACCAAACAGTGGACCGCAGCCCAAGAGAATGTCATCTGACCACAGACAGGAAAAAGGACGAACCGCAGCTCGTATAGAAACGTTTGATCGCAACCAAACGGTGGACCGCAGCCCAAGAGTATCAATCTAACCGCAGCCAGCTTCTGAACCGCAGCTCAGGATAACCAATCCGATCGCAACCGAATTGGGGTAACACACACATAACACATAGCAAGCACATGCAACCCACATTACACATTAGGAAGGGGGAGAAAACGTATAACAAAACCTATGTGTGATCCATCACATACTAAGAATAGTCCTAAGGGGTTCATACTCCTTCCACCTAGGTCAACGGGATACCAATTCAACTAGCATGCAATACAATAGACTCATAAACCTACGAACGGTACCCGGAACATCAAACTAGACATAGGCACGATAAACGGAGTCCGTTGGGACACCACGGGGAACGGGGGAACATCAAACGGGGAAGCCGGGATCCCGAGATGGGGGAATTTCCAGCGGGTAGCCGGTGGGTGGGGGCCACCCGCCGGCTGCCCGCCGGATAATACTGTTCCGGGCAGCGGGTCGCCGGCGGGCAGCTGCCCGCCCGCCGGCCACCCGTTGCCGGGCGGTGTTTCACGGCCGCGGGTAGGTGGCGGGTCCCCTACCCCCACTGACTCTTTTCACACACTTTACGCCCCGGGAACCGTTGTGGAACCCGAAACCATGCTTAGACACTTTACAACGCAATTAACGACAACACGTAGACAATTAACGAATCAAATACAAGAAACGGACGCCACATAACCTATCATGCTTTTCTAAATATAATCAACACCCAAACATGCGATTTCCCCACCCGATAAACCAAGAATAAGATCATACGATACAACCTAGGGTTCTAATCACTTTTATACCAACAAGAATACGATTCGTCTTCTAATTACAAGATTCGGTAGAAATAACACATAAGCATCAAGAACGCCATACAATTATCAAGAACGACATATAATCATCAAGAACTCCACATAATCATCAAGAACACCATAATTATAAAGAATCTCCCAATATCAAGATTATCAAGATCCCCCATGGGATCATCACATCAATCATCAATAATAATCATCACAACTCATCAATACACAATAATATGGGGGAAACCCTAAGGGGGAATCATAACTATGAAAATAGGTTTTGTTGAGACATGGGTTACCTCTTAGCCTTAATTAATTCCTTGGCTATGAAGGGTCTTTCTTTAAGCTTCCTTGCTTTCTTGATTTCTCCTAAGGGGATTCTTGGAGCTCTTTTGGGGTGGTGGGGCGTTATTTTTGTGGGAAGTTCTAGGTGCCTCCTAAGTCCCCTATTTATATATTTAGGAGTCCTAATTAGGAACTAATATTATAGGCTCGCTAATTCTATTCCTTTTGGAACTAAGGATTGGGTTTAGGGGTTGGGTTTATATATGAGGGTCCATGGACTATGGTGGGCCTTTTTCCCTAATTAATCATTATGATTTATTCCTTCTCTTGGGCTATTGATTGATTAATTAAATGGTTTTAGGGGTCGTAACACGGGGTGTTACATCGGCAGCCGACCTCGGCCACATTGCCCGGTCTCCAGATTGGGCGCGGTCAAGGCGGGGATAACCGCTTCCCCCGATTCAGGAGGACAGTTAGGAGGCCATGGCTTGTATAAAAGGCCCGCCCTTTGTCCAATTAAGACACATTCTACTTACCTTACATACTTTGTCCTAAGCCAACCATTGTAATAGCCTATTTACGACATATAATACGACATACGGTCTTCAAGGCCTTTACGACGTCGTTCTATTTATTCCTATTCGTATTCTTATCCGGATTTAATAATTCGGGTCACTCTGTGTTAATTAAATCTATCAGTAGTGATGAAGAACTTTTCGAATCCAAAAAATGGATGAGAAGTTGATTTTTAATCGAAACTAATAAAAAAAATCCAAGATTTTAACCATGTATGTTCTTAAATGTTAAGCATTTAGTAGTAATAAAGTCAAGTTAATTTTTTATAAGTTATATAATAATTGAAATAAACAAATACTTTGTAACATTTTTTATTGTGTGACGAGAAAAATTTGTAATCACTAGTTAATTGTGCATACTGACTAATATCATTCTTGTGTAATACCTAATAACTTATAAACTACAATTCAATTAAAAGTTCCGGAACCATTTCGTATGGTCCAAAATATTATTATTATTTTTTAATATCCTCGTACCGACCAGGTTGGTGCCTAACCCCACATTGTTTGCACTGATCAAAACCGGCACACAGAATCGTAAAGCTGTAAACCAGGATGTTTCAATCAAAATAATTAATTAATGCAATGTATTGCAATGGTGATCCGATGATGCTGTGATCATGTGAGTTCTGTTTTTTTCCTTTTTTCTTATAATTACTAATAAATATTAATTAAACTAATAAGACTAATGTATCCAAGAAAATTATCACTTTTTTTTAAACCATGATCACTTTTTTTTAAAACCATGATCACTTTTTAACTTCAAAGAATCTTAATACGTACTAATGGTGTATTATTAAATGTTAATCACGTTCAACTTTTGATGATACAAGCGGATTAAAGGTGGATTAGTCTCTCGATGAAATGGATAAAGACAGCAAATGACGACCAGCTTTATGTACATAAGTATAATCTAGTATAGATCTCAGGTAGATGTCAGGTTGATGCCCTCAACATGGATCTATAGTGCAACCCTTCAATCATTCATGAGTATTAATTTATGTTGCCCGCACGGACTTAGCTCAATGGTTCAGTATGCATTATTGGGAGATGAGATCAAGGTTCAAATTTCGGTGGCGGCAGTGTGTGAATTATGCAGTGGATGATCCCTTGTGTGCACCGGCGTTTGGTCTTATTTGTTAAGTCATTGAGTCACCGTGATTTACATCTTCCCAAAAGTTCTGTCACGCCGGGGTTGGAGATTCAACCTTTTGGGAGAAGAAGAGTATTAATTTATGTTGTCCAAAATGAATGGTCAAGAGGTGGAGCATGATTCTCGTATTACAATGTCACGATTGTGATTATCGTCAACATTATTTTAGTCAAGTATGTCGCACATGATTTTTTTAATAAAGTTTACTTCTTCAATATATATAATTTGTGAGTCATTATGCAAGAACACACTTTATCGGACATATAGAGGTTATGGATTTTTCTTTGAAAAAAAACAAAGAAGAAAAAAAAGAGGAATAATGAATGCCTCTTAGCTTCTTGCTTTAGTTGGATTAGATGTGAGTTTTTTGCACTTATGGTCCCACGACTATGGTGTCACTAACAATTTTGATCTACGACTTTTAAAACTTGTAAAATTAGTCCACGACTATGACTTGCTTAGCAAATTTGGTCATTCCAGTGTATTTTTTGTCGAAAAATTTTACTCCCCATTTTAACATGGGTAATATTATATTTTCCATCTCACAAACTAATTAATGACATAAATAAATAAATAAATAAACAACTAAAAAATTTGACGTTCAGCGAGGAGGGTGAAACTGAAAGTGGAATTGGAATTGGGTGACTTTTAATTTCAATCAATGTACCACTGGCTATGTTTAATTAATTAATTTATTTATGTCATTAGTTTGTGAGATGCAAAAGGCAATATTACCCATGTTAAAATGGGGAGTAAAATTTTCCGGCAAAAAATTAAATGGAAAATGCACCGGAATGACCAAATTTGCTAAGAAAGTCATAGTCGTGGACCAATTCTACAAGTTTTAAAAGTCGTGGATCAAATTTATTAGTGACACCATAGTCGTGGGACCAAAATTGAAAAAAACTCGATGTGAGGTTACCTTAGGGAATGTTAGATTACTGGAAATGTTAGATTACTAGGAATGTTAGATTCATGTGTTTGGTTTAAAACTAAGATATGTAAATAAGGCAACGGTAATAAGATAAATTGATTAAAACGTCCAAAGCCCAACATTAGTAATAAGACAAGGGAATGTGAGATTACCTAAGAAATTGGAGGGTATCTCACATTCCCTTCTAATAGCTAAAAACTTAATGCGGAGATTATCTAACATTTCCTGGGAAAATTACATAACTTGAACCAAACATGAGAATTTTATATTACCAAGCAAATATAACCTTGGTTATCTTATATAACCTGAACTAAACGCTCCTTAATTATATAAATAAGTAATAATAAATGTATCGATTTCCTTTATGGTGAATCAATATTCACCATCGCCCATTATTTTAATTAATGATTTATTATTCTTTGCCCATACAATTAAAATTCTTTTATTCTCACGCCCCTACATCCCAATCCAATAAAATGGTGAAGGGTAAATCATGCCAATTTTATTTTGGCCATGAAGTAAAATGACATTGTTTGATTTTAATTTTAGAAGAAAAAAAAATTGTTACTGTTTCCCTATTTTGTTACTGTTGTATGAACTCTGTTTTTAAATTTCATTTTTAACACACTAGTTTCATTATAGTAATGTTAAAGTACCATTTTAATTATAATTCATGTCTCTGCTATCCAGTTTCATTTTATATGAACAATATGTTCATTATATTAACACTAAAGTATCATTTTAATCTCATTATAGATTCATTTGGCAATATACATATTTGTATGAGTCATGCTATCTGTTTCATTTTATACATACAATAAGTTTATTATAGCAACACTAAAGTATCATTTTAATTCTACTACAAGTTCATTTAACAATATACATATCTATAATGTGATATGTCATTGATTCACGATAACAACAATTACTTCTTTTAATTAAAAGAAATGACGATGTATTGGCCCATAGTCCACCATATAACGATTGGATAAATCATGATGATTCAACGGCATACGTATGGGACATATTAGGTATCCCTAATTTAAGAATAAACACGGTTAAACGCTGTTAGCTAAGTGTTCAGGATAACCCCGGGTAGTAGTAGTAGTAGTAGTAGTAGAACGCTGTTAGCTAAGTGTTCAGGATAACCCCGGGTAGTAGTAGTAGTAGTAGTAGACTACAATTTGAACTCTTCTAGATATCAGCCACCGCCACCACATCGGAAGAATAACCGGTGCAATATAATCGGTTCGAGTAATTAATGTTTCAGCCTAATCCTTCTCTATTTATACTACAGTCCAGGCATCATCCCATGTCTCATTCTTCTTCGTACAGAACCAATTCCAATCTCTCTGAAATAATGAAATAATGGCCCCTTTGTATATCCTTGCAAAAGATGAAACAACAATGTCATAAAAAGTCAGGAGATGTTATTCCATGATCATGAGGTAAGCCTTAATTTTAATACAATCTAATCTAAATTTCATGATCATGAGGTAAGCCTTAATTTTAATACAATCTAATCTATATCATCATGAGGTAAGCCTTAATTTTAATACAATCTAATCTATATTTAGGAGGTAAAATCACACTTCATAATTTTCTTTTTCATATTCTACTTCAAATACAATATGATCTTATAGAAAGATTTTTGTTCTTAGGGAACATATGTTCACGGCAACATACCCCAGGAATATTTGGATATGTTTTCATATCAGTTTACAGAAGGAAAAGTATATGCAATAAAGAACTTCCTGGTAATCTCCAACTATTACCAGTACAAGCTCACTTCTGTCAAATACATGATTAAGTTTAATCATGAGATAGAGATAGAAAGACATCGTAGGGAAGGGTTTCCTAAGTTGATGTTTAGGCTTAGCGGTTTTGAGGATCTAATGAGGATCTAATGACTGGACTTATCCCTGAGAAGTTACTGATTGGTTGGTTCAACTACTTTATTCTCTAATTCTTCATTATATTCTTCCAGTTTTCCTTTATTGTTTGTATCTACCTATATATTTGCTAACTATTTTACAAATCATCACATATAGATGTGATTGGGCAAGTTGTGGAGTTCTATCCAAACTCTTTTCTGTTTGGTTTTGTTATTTGTAAATATCCTAATTTATTTTTTAAATTAAGATTATGAATCTGGAGATAGTTTTGATGAGGCCAATAGTCCTGATGTGCAGCAGAGTTTAAAACAAAGGTTTGAAACAAAGGTTTGAAATATTGGTGAACAGAGTGAACTTGACTCAACTAATAGAAATCTCTTGGACCAGTTCTCATCTACCAGGGATTTCAAAAGATCAAAGGCTATTGTCATAAAGAAGGAGAAAAATTGAAGAGACTGTGTTTGTAATGTGGTGCACTAATGGTCTAGATATTATCTTATGTTTTTTGGAACAATGTTTATTATCTGTTTTTGGGACATACTTGCAGTAATATGGTCTTCTAGGACTATGAACTACTCAACACTTGAACTCTAAGTCCATGCTGTGAAATTAAATGCATTGATGTCCGCCATTAATATCTTCTAATTTAGATTTCTCTTATTATATATTCTTCTATGTTTGTTTTATGTTTTGTAATGCAGGTTTTATAGATGATCATCATACATGCCAAACTGAAGATGGAATATCAAGATGAGATATGCAGTTATATCTACAAATGTAGGACAATTTGCTTCTAATGTAGGACAATTTGCAGCAGAAGCATATTAGATTATAACTTTGTAAACAAAATTTGTTTTTAGTTAAACACAGATGAATGTAGCACATAGAAGCAAATTTGGCACATTCATGAGAGATTTACCTGACATTCAGCCTCCATCTTCAAGCTAATTATACCTTCTGAAGCTGAAGTTGTGTTTTGCAAATCACCATTTTTATGGCCTACAAGAAAAATTAATTTAAATAGACAAAATATCTTGAATCCTCTTAAAAATCTCAAAGTTTAAGACTTCACTGAAATAAATTACCTTTGAAAACTATATCCTCATAAAGCTTTTAAAACTTCATCATGTATATTGTGTGTGGCTTCTCAAAAAGCAGATAGTGGTATGCATGTGTGAGAGACAAAACAGATGTTAACTACAATGCTCTTTCTTTTAAGAGATCTTAAACAAAAATTACAAAATTAAACTTGAAAGATATTATAGCAAAAATTTAGGAAAAAGGACCAAAAATCAACAAAATTACCTTTGAAATCTATATCTTCATAAAAGCATATAAACCTTTATTAAGTATGTTTCTTTTGTGTGGCTTCTCAAACCGCAGCAGCGGTATGCATGTTTTACGGATAAATCAAATGTTAAGTTCAATGCCTTTTAAGAGATTATCAACAAAAATGAGAAAGTTAGACTTAAAAGAATTTAGCCCAAAAATCAGTAAATTACAAGTAAAGAAAATATCCATCTCTTATCAACTATTAGAAATATTAGACTTAAAAGAATTTTCAAACTATAAATAGTAGAAACTTTTTTTTGTTCAAACTAAAGGCATTTTTGTTCACAAGAACATTGACAAAAATTACAGAAGAATTAAATAGAACAACTTAAAGATTTCATATCCATATCTAAAGTAAGAAATAATGTTGACATTTGTTCATTGTAAACAAATTTATAAAATGCTAACGGGAAAAAACAATTTACATTATAAAAAAGGCTAATTTTACAGCAACTTAAATGTTTTAATACAATACATAAATACGAAGAGAAATCATCAAACTCCATATCAGTACACAGTACTCATCTTGAGATTGGCCCATGAAAACTTGAAAAGTCATTCTGTGCATCTAATAGTAGAAAAAAAATGTTAAAAATGAACAATATATCAAAACAAGTTATGCCAATAAGACAATAAGCAATGTAACATAATTGATTTTTAGTACTTGATGATATTTAAATCATATGGGCATCAGAAAGAATTTTCATCATATGCCAAGCAAATGGTTAGTACTGCCTAAAAATAGTGGACCATATAATCAGTAAATAAAAAATAATAAATTGTTAATCAACAATGTCAAATAATAATAATCTAGAAAATAGAATAAAAAATATTTACGAGATTAAAAAAAACTTACACTTATCTTCTAGGCAGATGTTCTTTGTGTCTATCTTTTACGGTTTTTAATGCTTTGAATCGATCCCCTGAGACATATTTGTTCTTCTCTAAGTCTAGGTACGTACATGTGCAAACATTTGAGAATTACAGACTTAAATAATTACATTTTAGAAGAAGTGAAATTATAACTTACTACATGTGGGAACGTCGTGTTTTCTGACGGATTTAAACCCAGTTTCGGCTTCAATTTTCATCGACATCGGAACTCCTTGGCCGGAAGTTGTACCGCTTTAGGGTTTCGAATTTGGGTTTAATTCATCTTGGTTTCGAAGTTGAAGCTTGAAGGATTGAACAAAATTGTGGAGGATATCGGAACTCTTTTGGCGCAAATTCTCTCAGTTTAGGGTTTCGATTTTGGGGATAAAACTTCTAGGAGGAGAGGTTTTCGTGTTTTGAAGGTTGAAGAGTGAAGGAGTGAAGTGAAGGTCGGTAATGGCTTCGATTTCCTGAAGCGTTCATGAGTCGCAATTAGGTAATCGCACTGGAATCGCGAAGAAGACGGAGGGAGGACCGGAGACGACAGAGCGAGGAGGAGAGTGGATGAGCGAGAGAGAGTTGGGGGAATCTGTCGGGTTGGGTGGGTTTAGATAGGTGGGCCGCGGGTGGTTTTGGGCTGGGTAGAGGGTTAGGTAAATGGGTTGCAGTCCACTATTTGAATTGTTTTATTATTATTATTATTATTATTATTATTATTATTATTATTATTATTATTATTATTATTGATATTGTTGTTATTGTTATTATTTATTTTATTTCTACTTTTTAATTTAATTTTTATTATTAGTGTTAGTATTATTTATTATATTCTATTAATATTAATATTAATATTATTATTACATTAATGAAACTTTCCTCTTTACAAACACAAATGACAATGCTTAATAATTTTTTCATGATAATAAGTTAAAAAAATCACAAAGGTACGTTTAGTAGAACCATAACACATAAATAATAAAATAAAATTAATTCAATAATGTTGGTGTTTACAATATTTGTAAATAGATTTACTACACTAACAAATGTACATGATTAAAATATATATCTTATATTCACTCAAGTTTTACAAAACTTGGGAGATAAAATTATATCTCAATTCAATAATATAAAATATTCATCTTTCAATTATATTTGTTTTTATTGTTATTTTTTTGTAATGTAATTATTCTTATTAATATTATTTCTATTATTATCGTTATTATCATTATAAATATTATATTTAATATAAGGGTTAACATAATATTGTCAGGGTCAAATAGATCATAAACATTTGGAGTCTCGAGCTATATTAGCTCCAACATTAGATGTTGTGGACAAGGTGAATGAATACATGAACAGTATGAATGAGGCAACTTCCAAGAAATATTTTAGTTGTGATTCGGTTTGCAAGTGAGATACAAATGCTAATATGTTATCGGAGGTTCACACCTACAGAGTTTCTTAACAGTTTGAGATGCTCCGGTGTTCCAAACCATTCTTTAACATTAAAGGTTGGATCGCCAATTATGCTGCTCAGAAATATAGACCACTCATTGGGATTATGCTGGTACAAGGTTGATCATTACACAATTAGGAAACCATGTAATTGAAGCTCAAATTCTGTGTGGAAACAATGTAGGCACCAGGGTACTAATACCAAGATTGAGATTGACTTCTTCTGACCCAAGACTACCGTTTAAATTTCAGAGGAAACAATTTTCAATAATGTTGTCATATGCTATGACAATAAACAAGATTCAAGGTCAAATTTTATCTCATGTGGGACTACTATTAAAGAAATCGGTGTTTAACCATGGACAGTTATATGTAGTAGCATCTCGGGTTAGTAATCTAGATGGGCTAAAAATCTTAATATGTGTAGACTCTACTGTGGTTTGAACACTACAGAAAATGTAGTGTACAAAGAAACTTTCAATAATTTATAATTTTTTTTTTGGGATTTTTAATGTCATATCATAATGTTATTATTGTTTTGTATATATGTAACAATTTTTTTAAACTTAGAAACGCTTCCAATTTCGAAAAATTGTGTAATGATGCAACTATAATAACAAAAATAATTAATATCAATTTCTTAACATAAATTAAATATTTTAGAATTTTATGTCTGTGCATCGCATGGGTGAAATAATAATAATAATAATAATAATAATAATAATAATAATAATAATAATAATAATAATAATAATAATAATAATAATAGTTTTTGTACAAGGGTATTTATGTCTTTTAAACATATATTATATTCATATTCCTTAACCAACCAAACATTGGAATACAGTTCCCAATGTCTATTCTTTTAACGAACCAAACAACAGAATACAATTCCTATTCTATTCCTTAGTTATTCTATTCCCTATGAAATAGCATTCCTATTCCCTCCAAATTCATTCCGTGAACCAAACGGCTCGTAAAAATAATAAAAATAAAACTTAGGAACTAAAAGTATCATTGCATGTCGATTTGTAAGATCAAAAGTGAAAAAAAAAAAAAACAAAAAAAAAAACATATTTTATTAAAATAAAAGGAACGCGACATATTTAACCGTTAAGGTATATTTCAATTAAGTATAGACTCAATCTCTTAACTATTATCAAGCTCTTAAAAGAATTTGAAGTCTTGGTCTATTATATATCTACTATACTAATAAGAGCCCAAGAGAGTTAGGCCTATAATGTGTATAAAAAATGATCGCCAAATTATTAAATCAAATGAATGGTTCATATTGTTCAGGTTTTAATTTTTTTCTTTTAAGATTTTTTAATTTATCCTTAATTATATGATTATCCATTTAACTTTTCCGTTAATTCACCGTTAGTCTATTTCTAATATTAAAGTCTAATATAGAATTATAACTACACCATTAATCTAATTCTAATATTAAAGTCTTAATAGAACTTAACCACAAATCCTAATGTCGGAATCTCCTCAAACAATATTAGTATATATTTCATATTTTATGCCCTAATTTTTATTTGTTCTCCCTTATGTCCCGTATTTGGTTTCAACCATACCTATACAATTATTTTATTGACAATTATAATCAATATTGACTATATTATCTTGCATTTGTAAACTTAGAATTACCTATTTAACCCGCACGGGATTAGCTCAATGGTTTAGTGGGTAGTATTTGGGAGAAGAAACCAAGGTTTGAACCTCGGCGCCGGCAATGCGGGAATTATGTCCAAAGTGGGCAGATTCCTTGTGCGTACCAGCATTTGGCCTTGTCTGCTGAACCATTGAGTCACCGTGATTTACAACTTCCCACAATGCTCTGTCGGGTAGGAGTGTGGGGGGGGGGGGCCTTGGGGTTGGGGACTCAACCTTTGGGAGAAGAATTACCTATTTAAATACGCAAATTCAACCTTCAATTATCTATGCATGAACAATTTCAATATAATATTGCCTTAATATACTTTAAAGTACTTATTTAAAAAAAAGCATTGGGCATTATCCCAATCGCGCAATGCGCGTAAAAAACTAGTGTTAATATATATGTTAATATTTCATTAGATTTGACTCAATTTAAAAAAACTTGAACAAGTGTAAATAAGAAATTTTTATTTTATCCTGTTATCTTTATATAAATGAGAAGTTCCTAGCATTCCAATTAGTTTATTTGGAAAACCTCAAACTTCACCTAGTAGTGAAAAAAGAGTAAGAATCTTACATACGAGTTTAAGATTTGTCAAATAAACTTATCTAAACATTAAGAAATAAGAATATCTATTTCATAGAAAGAGAAAAACTTTCTTTTATTGATTTTTTTTTTATCTAAATATAATGAAATATTAATAGAAATGACCAAACCCTTCACTTCAAAAAATTTTGAGGTAACAAAAATAAACATGACAATAACTGAGTATATTTAATGTATAACTTTTTTTTTTAGTACTATTCACATTACTACAATGTAGTTGTTGTCTATACATACTTTTGCAACCTATTGAATCACAGAAAATTCATACCTCTACTGGAGTTCAAACATGTGATCTCATATTTAGAGAAGCCAATAAGGTACTATTGAATTACAAGCTACTTCGCATTCAATTTATAACTTAAGACCCAATTTTTGAAATAAAATTGAAAAGGGACATAAAGGGCTGAAAAGTACAGTGGGAAATATCTTCTATAAAAAATATGTATTCAATCAACTTAACTATTGACACTTGTGAGGTTCAAATGGAATGTTCTTTTTATTATACCATATTTGACTAAAATTATTTACAATTCAATAATACTAAGTTTTTTTTTTTTTTTTTTTGAATGCTACTGACTCTATAATAATATAGTATCCGTTCATAACTACTTTTTCTCAAGTAACTGAAACGCAAAGAGCCAATAATGCCTCCACCGAAGCTCGATCTCACAACCTCCCATTTAGAAGTCCAACCCAAGTGCCATCTGTGCACAAGGTGCTTAGCTAGTATTAAGTTTAGTATTGGTATATATAAAATTATATATCTAAAAACTAAATTAAAAGCATTATTAAATACAAAAATTTAAATTTAAAAATTAATTAGAAAATACTAATGAAAAAATAGTTAGTTTTAGGTATGAAAGGTAAAATGAGATAAAAGAAATTATTATTAGACACAACTAGTATTTTCTCCCGTGCGATGCACGTAATGGAATTGTTGTAATATATTAAAAATATTTAAATCGATATATAATTATTTAAGAGTTAATTTCACCAGAGGTCGCTTATCTCCTGAAAATTCCAAATTTAATCCTAGACAATAGTTATTAATTATTACGATTTATTCTATATCATAATTCTTACGTTAATATTCTTACTATTATTATTAACACTTAATTAATTTTAGATATTACTAGTATTTTCACCCGTGCGATGCACGGAATTGAATTGTTGTAATATATTAAGAATATTTAAATCGATATATAATTATTTAAGAGTTAATTTCACCAGAGGTCGTTTATCTTTCCTGACAATTCCAAATTTAATCCTAGACTATAGTTATTAATTATTACAATTCATTCTATGTTACAACTCTTACGTTAATATTCTTACTATTATTATTAACACTTAATTACTTTTAGATATTATTATTACCACTTATATTATTATTATTATTATTATTATTATTATTATTATTATTATTATAATATTATTATTAGTTTCTTTTCAAGTACTGTTAGTATATAATGGTCGTGAGGCACAATAATAATATAACCATAATTAAATATTCTTGTATTGTATTCCGGAGTTAATGCCATTTTTGGTCCTAGACTTATTGAGGCATTGACACTTTTCATCCTCCATAATAAAAATTACCACTTAGTAGACACTGTTATTGGTCATTGGACAGTTTTGATCCTCCGTCAATGAAGCCGTTTGTTGACCGTGAATTAGAAGGGCTTTTCTGTCTTTTTATGTCTTATTCTTCTAATCTTGTTTAGACCAGCGCTGCTGTGACTCCTGTGAGGCGAGATGGCGAGACTTGGCGGCTAAGTAGTAACCGTCGGTAATGAGTAGCAGCGAGGTTCTTCTCCGGCGAGTTGTGGGTACGGCGGCGAGCATACGAGGCAGTAACTCCTTCCGGCGACGGACCAGTAAGG